ACTACAGACGGATTAGGGTGTAGCACATGAGGTCTAAAGGGTGTAAAACTAAAAAAAAAAACTATAGACATCAAAAATGGCTTTAACACAGCCTAATGGAAGCATATAATGAAAGAGCTAAGAAGACGGAAAATATCAAAGTATATTCGTACAATAATAGCAAGCTACTTTACAAACCGCTTTATAATAAATGAAGACCTTGTGGAATACAAAATAGCCGGGGGAGTATCGCAGGGTTCGGTTTTGGGACCGCTGCTTTGGAACATACTGTATGATGGAATCCTAAAAATCAAAACTCCAGAACAGACAGATCTAGTAGCATATTCTGATAACTTAGGCGCGATGGTCGCAAGTAGAACTGAAACAGAACTAATTGAAACTTCAAATGACGTAATGGAGATGATTAGTAGGTGGCTAAAAGATCATGACCTGCAGCTGGCACCTCAAAAGACTAAAGCAGTGCTGTTGATAGGAAAGAAAAAAAAACCAATTAGTCAAGATTGTACCAAAAAAAGTGTTAACTATCTAGGCGTTACGATGGACCAGAACTTATACTTTACTTTAGACAACAGTTAGAACGAGTTACAGCTAAATGTAAACGAACATCAGCAGCGTTGAAACGAATAATACCTAAAGCAAGAGGAGTTAGTCAAATAGAAGGCAGAATGTAGTAGCAGCATATCAGTCAATTGTATTATATGCGTCAACCATATGGGATAAGGCCCTAAATAGTAAGTATAATCTAAAATAGCGGTAAGAATGTGCAATTGTTACAAGACAATATCTACAGAGTGCAGCCTAGTAATATCCGAAGTAACACCCATACTTTTTTGGAATACCGACACTTTTTTGTTTAAATGCATAAATATATTTACAAATTAAATAAGACTTCAATAAATGTATGAATATTGTGGTGTAGATTGTAGAAAAGCTCATATTAAATTTATTATGTGTTATTATATAATTGCTTTTTAAACTGAAATAAACAAAATTTGTAAAATACATACCATTTGGCGGTAAAATATACCTGAGCAAAGATTCGGGTGACATTTCTACCCCGACAATTTCTTTACCTGAGAGTTGGGTGGTCAACTCGTCTCCGCCGTATATTTCATTGCTAGCAACAAACGAAAAAAATCCATCGATAATGAACAATACTTTAAATATGATAGGTCACTCGAAAGCTCTATCTACGTGGCTATGGTATATGTTGTTCACCTCTCTTTTTCTCCCCTGTACGCAAATACAAGCAAAAACACGACGTTCTATTTTTTTATGGCAAATAAAGGACTTAAGACATTCCAACGACCTGTCAAACAATAGCTACCAGTATAAAGGGCTTGTATATCTAAAGGGGTTGCGACGTAGCCTTTATTTATGAAAAATGTATCTTATTAAAAATGATATTTTTAGTGTTCAATATAAAATATTTAAATGTAATCTATTATTCATAATTTCACATATGTTATATAAAAATACGAGGGTCATTCAATAAGTAAAGAGACAAATTCTATAATTTTAAAACTATTTAATGAATGTGTACAATTTTTTCAGGGGTATTAGTTGGCAACCTTGGGATATGCTCTGATCAGCTAATTCATCATTTTATGTCAACATAATCTCAAAATTTTTAATTCACCATGTCCACCAGCAAGTCCATTAGAAATTTGCACCTTAGAAGAGCAGCGCTCAGTCAGTAGCTTTTTAGTCGCAGAAGGTGTAAAACCAAGTGAGATTTTTTCTAGAATGTTGATACAGTACGGTAAAAGTTGTATGAACCGTGCATATTTTTACAAGTGGGTTGATTGGTTTAAAAGTGGCCGAACAAGTGTAGGTGATGAACCCCGATTTGGACGTCAAGTGGAAGTTTCTGGTCCCTCGTTGGAATCGAGGATTGACGGACTTATTCGTGATAACAGAAGAATTACTGTTGAAACGAGTCCAGTCTATTGCGATTTCTTTGAAGATCAGCTGGCTATCAATAGCCAATACTACTCTGAGACGCTAGAAAACAAAGTTAGACCAGCTATCAGGAGTAAACACCGTGGACTCTTGTAAAAGGAGTCATTCTTCAGCACGATAACGCTCGCCTTCATACAACCCAGCTGATCCGTGATAAGCTTCAAGAATTGGGTTGGGAGGTCTTACCTCATCCTGTCTACAATACCGATCTCGCCATATCTTATTTTTACCTGTTTTGACCACTCAAAGACGCCCTACGTCGAAAAAGATTTGCTATCAATGAGGAAGTAAAGGAAGCGGTGCAAAAGTGGCTTCGGGGTAAATCGAAAGAATTCTTCGCCCAGGGAATTAGGAAGCTGCAAGAAAGATGGGACAAGTGCATAACTGTGGGGGTTGATTATGTTGAAAAATAGCCTTAATTTTGAAAGATTGTAATAAACCGGTTTTGAGCTATAGCCATTTGTCTCTTGACTTATTGAATGGTCCTCGTACATCTTCTATCGCAACCCTTTAGACATATCAAACCTTCTCACTGACAATTATTTTTTTGGAATGCCGAAATATTTGTCAATATTTATTCAAAATATTGTTATGAGGTTCCAGGTTATTCCAAAAAACATGAGATCTGGAATAATTTCCAATATGGTGCAGTCTCGGTGAGGGGAAGAGAATAAATATTAGACCAATTAATTGACCGTGAATGGATTGCATTATATATTTGCAACAAAGATAAATGAAGGAGACCCACAGTGGAGTAAAACGGTGGAAAGAAAATACTAAAAAAAGAATGAAGAAGAAATAAACAGGAAGAAAAAAAAAACTTAAATTTCAATATATTATAGAACTTTAATTCCTTATTTAATTCTTTAGTGGTGTGGCATGCAAGAGCAATTAGTTATTCAGAGTTTCCTGATTGAAAGTTTCTTAATAAGTTTTACAATTTGAAGAAACTAACCGTTAGCTGGTGAATTTCTCGTAAAAAATATAAAACTCGTCTTTGACGGAAGCTCCCAAAAGAAAACAAAACGGCCGATTCTCTTTTAATTAGACCATCTTAATTTTTAATTAGTTTGTTAGTATGTCTCAAGTTTGTGAGTTGAATGAATAAAAAGAGATTACTTTGTATTCAATCTAATTGATAGACAAGGAAGAAATATTTTAATGAAGGATCTAGTTCATTTCTTGGAACTGATAGATAAATAAATGATTACTTAATTTATTTTACTATTAAAATTCATATTTTTTTTAAATCAACCTTACTGACTTTTTGAATAATTTTAGCCATCTTAAAATGTAAAATATAGTAAACGAAGTTTCTTATTCTTAAGATACTTATATTTTATTTTTCTTTAGATAAGTTCTACCTTAATTTTCAAGTTTGAAAATTATAACAGACGTAATAAAATACTAAAATTTTGAAATAATTCGCTAGATACACTTTAAGTAGCATTTAATTTGTGTTTTACGAGTAAGTCTGCATTAAATGTTAAACTAATCCTAAATAAACCCTATTAAATCCTAAAACATATTCATAACTTACTTTTACAAAGTCGATCATTTAATGTCCCTATCGTTATCAAACACTGATCACCTTAGAAATAATAGTATTTCACAATAAGTAAAAACTTGCTGACAGCGTTCAAATGAAGTACAGCAAAAGCGGTGCTACAAAAGCTATAAAACCTCCAGAAAGGACAGATACAAAGTTATCGATAACGAACTTTCTATATCGTGACCAACCGGTGGTTGGGCCATTTTGCCTTTTCCCCAATTTTTACGTAGCTAGTTTAGTGAAACGAGTTTTCAAACGGCAGCCTAGAATTTCAATCGAACATCACATCGGAGTCCGATGCGTCGCTTTTGAAAATTGATTTCAGAAATGCAAGAATAGATTCTGTTTCTTTTTTTTTTTAACCTGCATTTTAAAATTTCGTTCATCAGCGTTTTTGTGAAATATTGCATATTGTCATGCACAGATCGCGTCAAAAAAGAATGAGCATGAAGAGGATTTTTCGTCTTTTCAATAGATAATATAATTATGGAGGTGTTGGCTGGAATTGATAATGATTTGTTCGTGTCTGGCACTGGTTTTAACATTTACATTTCCTAGCATATTAGTATAAAAACTGGCAGATGTGCACCTACGAGAATATCCAGATGGGTTTTTAAAAATACGTTTCGATTTTTATTTATTTATGATTACCACGTACTTTTGATAGCCTTAAAAAATCCCCATTAAGATATAGAAAATGAAATGTCTCCTGAAGATTTAATAAATTGTTTTAAAAAGCAGAATGGTTTTTTAAATGATGATGATCTAATATATCTATTAAAATTAAAAAAAAATGAAGTCTAAAGTCATGGCTATAATTGTTTGTAATCCACAGTCATATGACAATATACTAAAGAAGGCTTCCTGTCTGTCTGCCTGTCGTCGTAGCAAGGTGTGTGTGTGTGTGTGTTGCTCCGCGAAAGTAATTAATTTCTACTGGTTATTAATTGAAACATAGTAATCTAATACTACCGCATGATTTGGAGATATCTACAAGATGGTATGTGCATTCTTAATTTTATACATTAATTAAATGCAGTAGTTACTTTGATAAACAATGAGCTGTGAATCTTGTGACACTGCGATAAGCCGAACAAAACCCGGTATTTCATGTGCTGGTTTTTGTGGACAAAAAGTATTTCACACCGGTTGTGTTGGAGTTCCTTCGGACGTTGCCAAACATACTAAAACTTATGGCCTTCTATGGTATTGTCAGGAATGTTATCCTGCTGTTACTAATTTTAATAAGCATTTTTCGCACACTATGGATACGAAGCTAAAAGAGGTGGTAGGTAATATGGAGAAACTATTCACTGAAGCTAAAGAAGAAATTTTTAAAATGATCACAGAAAATATTAGCAATATACCTCCTTTTGATTTAAATAAGTCAACTTATTCGCAAGTGGCTCAAACGACATGTCAATCGGTTGTAGTAATTAAACATAAGGATGCTACACAAAATAATATTTAAACTAAGGCTGATATTATGAGCAATATTAATCCCACTGAACTAAAAATAAAAGTTTCAAAAGTTAAGAATAATACTAGAGATGGCGGAATACTTGTTGTGTGTAGTAAGACTGAAGGCGCATCTAAATTTAAAGATGCAGCTAACGCAAAATTATCAAATGCTTACGAAGTAAAAGAAATTAAAAGTAGAAATTCGAAAATTAGAATAGTTGGAATGATTGAGAAGCATGAATCTGACGAACTTATTTCGTTACTTAAGTTCCAAAATGATGTCATCCAATCGTCCAAAGTTTGCAGCGTTGTGAAAATTTGGGCTACCAAGAAAAATGATAAGATTTATCAAGCAACTCAGTGTTTAATGCTATAGATATCACATTATGTTATAAGTGCAGCGGCTTTGGTCATAACCAAGGGTCGTGTTTAAAAAATATTGCTTGTCTTAAATGTTCTCGACCACATCAAATTAAAGATTGTCCTATTGATTCTGAAATAAAATGTATTAACTGTATTAACGCTAAAACTTCTGATGTTAAACATTTTGCTTGGGATCACTTAAAGTGCCCTGTTTATCAGAAAAAACTTGAATATTATAAGAACCCTACTAGCCAACATAAACTTAGTGTATTTTACCAGAATGTTAAAGGATTAAACACCAAATTTGCAAAACTGTTCAATAATTTCGTCGAATGTAACCATGACCTATTAGCACTGCCAGAAACTTGGTTGAGTTCTTCTGTGTACGATTCTAAATTATTTTTTGAAAATTATATAGTATTTCGTACTGACAGAAATTTTAATATTACCAATACTACTAAATGGGGAGGTGTGTTAATTGCTTTAAAGAAAGAATACAATGCATTAAGACTAGATCTTTCTGAACTGACTACTTCTACTCCTTTTATTGACGTACTTGGTTTAAAAATTTCAGTCTCGAATAGCAATCTGTATGTTATATTACTTTATATTCCTCCCTCTACTATTAATGATATATACGATGTCTTTTATGATGTTTTGTGTAATTACGTATGGTGCAACAATGATGAAGAACTGTTAATATTCGGGGATTTTAATATACCACATTATCATTCTAGTCGTAATGACATTACTTTGAAAAAAGCTAGTATAGTTGCACTTGATAGTTTTACCGAATTATTTGCTTTATGAAAATATAATAATACTCTTTATTTTCGTTTACTCGATTTAATCTTTAGTAGATCTAACATCGCTGTAAATCAATTACTTGATCCATTAGTTGACAAAGATAATTTACATCCTTCATTAGAATTTCGGTTGTCTTTTTCTCAAATAAATACCAGTTGTCTAGTACATTATCTGATAATTTCAAAAAGGCAAATCTTTCTATACTCTACCAGACTATCTGTAGAATTAATTGGAGAAGTTTGAATGCATGCGCAACTTCTGAGGAGACTTGTGATTTGTTTTATTCTTAAATTCTGCAATTGCCGCTAATGTTTCAAAAATAAATAATTCACAAGACATTGTCAATGCATTTGCTACATATTTTCAGTCATCGTACACTAATTCGTCTCAAATTGATATGTCTAAACTAGATAATGTTGTTAATATTAACAGTTGTAACATTCCGCTACTTACAGAAGAAGATGTCATTAAAGGTCTTAAGAGATTAAAACCTAAAAATACTAGAGGGCCAGATGATATTCCGGCATTTTTAATAAGAGATTGTGCAAATATTTTAGGCAAACCTTTAACCATGGTCTGTAATATGTTCTTACGAGAAGGGAATTTTCCAAGGTATTGGAAGATATCTAAAATCTGTCCAATCTTTAAGAAAGGGTCCAAATCTATCATAGAAAACTACAGACCTATATCCATCCTTTGCAATTTTGGAAAAGTTTTCGAAAATGTCATTTATGAAATACTTTTCGCTCATGTAAAATCGATTATATCTACGGCACAGCACGGCTTTTTTCCAGGCAGATCCACAGAGACCAATCTGATATGCTTTACACAATATGTTGCGGAAAACCTTGATAGGGGTGGCCAGGTTGAAGCTATATATACCGACTTTTCCAAGGCGTTTGATCGCCTCGATCATAGTATACTTTTGAACAAGCTTTCCATTGTTGGACTCACTACGTCTTTTCTGCGTTTCTTTGAATCATATTTAAGTAATCGTAAATTGAAAGTTGAATACCATGGTTTTCAGTCAATTTGTATAAAAGCTTCTTCCGGTGTCCCTCAAGGTTCAGTTCTAGGACCACTTTTATTTTCCATTTTTATAAATAACATAACTGAAAACCTATTAGGTAATACTCTACTCTATGCTGATGATTTAAAATTGTTTAAATCAATCTCCAGTATTGATGACTCTTTGATTATGCAGGAGAACCTAAATAAATTGAACCTTTGGTGTAATTCTAACAACTTACCACTAGACATATCTAAGTGCAATTCTATCAGCTTCACTCGTAAACCGATTTTAAAAATATTAACAAGTAAAGTAGAGAAGCTATTGATGTTTTTATTCTGTCAAAGAATATTTGGATTTCACGTTTTGATTGTTTAATTTTATTTATATTTTTAATGCAACTGTATTTCTGTATTTTTAATATTATTATTATTAAAATATCTTTAAATTATTGTAAAGATTGTTGTTTGGTCCCAAATACTTAGTTTTAGTTGATATTTATTGTATTCCTTTATAGACTCCTTACTGTTTACTAGGTTACACTTTCTTTATATAATAAAAAACATAGTAGGAAAAAAGATGTCACAAAAAGTCACTGAAACAACACATCTAATAAAAAGTAATTTCACGCATTCCATTGCATTTTTAAACAATTTATTAAAACTTATAAGATCTGTTAATTTGTTCACGTTTGTAAATATATGTTTGGAAGAAATCCTGGTCCTAAATAATACAATTTGTGTTGTATTTAGAATTATTTACCTTTGCGTACATGTAGTTCCATTTACTAATTAACTGCAACCAATACAGAGGGGAAAACTATGACTCTTTTAAACACTTCACTTAAATTAATTGATATTTATCATTAATATTGATTAGATATTTCATCGATGTCGCAAGAACCCTTTTTCTAGAAACGAAGCGGCAAACGAACTTGACCGAGATCGTTGCGTCATTTTATCCCTATGCGCAGTGATCTAATGCACATCAGTGGATCAAAAAATAGATCTTATAAATAAGATAATACTTTACAGAAACATTGATATTAATAAACAGAACACATTGTTAAATTGAATTACATTAATTGAGATAGAAATTAAATGTTAAATAAATGCACAAAATACATTATAGGCCATTACAAATAGTTCATTTTCCCACAATTATACTTCAAAAAATGTTTATCAAAATCAATTATATTAAAATTTAATTCTCAATTTCTTTTTAAATATAACTACAGTCAAAAGTAAATCTCTATTGTAAAATTTAATTAATTTGCAAATTTGTCTTGTTAAAATTTTAAATTCTCAACAGTTTGATAACCTGTTTTTATATACAGTACGATATAAATTAAAAATACATAGATATTTTGTAAATTATATAAATCATCTTATTTGAGTTTCTAAATATAACAATAAATTATTTATCATGATTTAAGGATTTCGTAACATACTTTCTTTTCATTGATATATCAAATTATAAAAAAAAAATCAGACACCGAGAAATTATATTACATTTTTTTTTTAAATTATTATTGTTATTTTTATTATTGTTAATAAAAATTTATTTATCTCTATTGCAGTTTTTTCATAAAAATATAAATTTTTCTAATTTTATTACCTTCATATTGATAAAACGGAAATACGATTATTCTATGTTGTATACCTACAATTTATTTAAATTTAAATGTTTTTCTGTCCATAAAAATGAATAAATCCAAATTTATACATCTACCTACAAAAAGGTTGTAAATAAAACTCGGTCGAGTGATTATAACTTTATTAAACAAATGTACTAACAGCATACGCACCAAATAAAATATTCCGCATTCAACTTTTAACCATTTAAAAATATGTTTTTATGAACTCAAATAAATTTACAATTTTATTAAAACTACATTTCAAATATTTATATTGCATTGAAGTGAATTATACATTATAAACGAGAAAACTATACAATAATAATATTTGATACAGAAATTAGCTACACGAATTAATAATGAAAATTGTAGGGATGAGAATAAAATAGAATTAGCTTTATTGACTTCTCTATAAAAAAGTTGTTTAGCAAGGTCTAAAGCAACAAGAGTGGTTATAAAACTAATTTTAAAAACCCACCACAAAATTATACAGAAGCCCTTAAAATTATTTACGGAACTATCCCTGAGGTATCCTCTTTCTAACAAAAAAAAAAAATCATAGAAATTGGAAAACGTGGTAAAGAATTATCGCTGAAAATACATAAAAAAAATAGTTTGATGATTTTCTTATGGACCCCATTATTAGATTTTGACCAAATTTATACGGAACCACCCCTGAGGAACCCCCTTTCTAATAAATCATACAAATCGGACAATGTAATAAATATTGATCGCTGAACATACATAAAAAAAATATTCGGACGAATTGAGAAATCATTATAACATAAATACTTGTAAACCAAAAGTATACTCTTGCCCCCCGTATAACTATTACTTTTGGGAACACTTTTTTTAAGTATATTATTCAATTAACTATACCACGTCAAATATATAGACACCAGCGACTTGGGTTGTATTAAACTACCACATTTCATTCAATTGTTTTATTTCTTGTAACATTACCCAGCCACTCTCAGCTGAAAACCGGGCATAAAATAGTCAAAATTAACCCCCTCCTTGTGTAACCTTAGCCTTCTACCACCTTGAGGCGCAGATTACATTGGTCGGATTTGAAGAGAAAAATCTACGTTTCGTTTGATGTTTTGCATGACGTTTTCGTTTGATGTTTTCGTTTGATATTTGACGTTTGGTTTGAAGTTTCGTTTGACGTTTCATTTAACGTTTCGTTTGACGTTTCGTTTGACGTTTCGTTTGACGTTTCGTTTGACGTTTCGTTTGACGTTTCGTTTGACGTTTGGTTTGAAGTTTCGTTTGACGTTTCATTTAACGTTTCGTTTGACGTTTCGTTTGACGTTTCGTTTGACGTTTCGTTTGACGTTTCGTTTGACGTTTCGTTTGACGTTTCGTTTGACGTTTCGTTTGACGTTTCGTTTGACGTTTCGTTTGACGTTTCGTTTGACGTTTAGTTTGACGTTTCGTTTGACGTTTCGTTTGACGTTTCGTTTGACGTTTCGTTTGACGTTTCGTTTGACGTTTCGTTTGACGTTTAGTTTGACGTTTCGTTTGACGTTTCGTTTGACGTTTCGTTTGACGTTTCGTT